GCGGCATGATAGCGAGTGGAAACATTTAATTTTACAAATTTCTCCAAACATCTTGTTTGATCATTTACTAATATTTAATTACTAACACAATTTAGTTATTCTACCAGCATTCTAATGTTATTCCTCAACAATCCCTGATCACTTTCATGGATAATTGTTGCATGGCAGCTGAATAAATATGGTATGTTTTAATGGGTTCACCTCATCCTGATCCTCCTGTACCTTGGGTATCAAGATGAAGGATAACTGAAGGGAAAGGCCCCTTTTGTGTGCCTTGTAAAATGGGAGTCCTATGGACTCTTTAATTTCCTCTGTCCATCGCTTGTACTAAAAGCGAAAGCCTTAGGTATCAAGAAAAATAAAGACAAACAGTTCGTGGGGGGTGGGGACTTGAACCAGAAAGGTTCTAGCCCAGACATGAGATCTTTTGTATACAGTCTAGATAGCAGTAACAGTAAACTAGGCACACTAACCATAGGTCCTAATCTGAATCAAAACAACTGGAACTATAATTAGCACATTAACATTTGTTTATTTTACTAAACTTAGGACAAAACTTCGCCCGTGTGCCACCGGGGTCCTCACGGGAAGCAAAGAATGGTGACACTGCACCCTACCAGGCATGTCATAAGAGGCGACTAAGGGTAGGGTTGGGCTTGAGGTTGGCTACCTCATCCTGTAAAAACCATAGCCACAAAAACCAACCAACCATGGATAAGTCAAAAAGAGAAGCAAGTAAAATCCAGCCAATCAAGATGAGGGGAGGCTCTTCAAATAGAAGAAGTATGACACGGTGTGGAGAAAGCCGTAAGGATCTGTGTTAACAGTTTTTTATTGAGGAGATTGTATACACAAATTAAACTACAGTTTCATTAATTCTCTACATATTTTATAGAACTATACGTCATTTTTAAGGTAAATAACTGTGCCGAATAAATATAACAATAAAGGCTCTTACAGACAAACAAAAAATGCTTTTGCTACAGTCAACATGAACATAAACATCAATAACGTTTAGATGAAAACTAAAAGTTGTTCCAGCAAAAGTAAAGAAATATCAGTGCTAATTCTTTGATTCTGAGAGGGTATTCTTGCATCAGAGAAAAGGGGGGGGGGGGGGGGGGGGGGGGGGGGAGGGGGACATTTGTACTTTATCAAATTTAGCGCATACAAATACTGCTATGAAAGATACACATATCATACATAACATAAATATAAATAATTGATGGTTATTATTATTATTAGTAGACTACTACAACATATAATTATACTGTTCTTTAATAATTAGTAAACAAGCACAATCAGTATGAAATTGATATGTGCAATACTTTTTTCACCCAGAGTAGTTTTCTTAACAGTACTTATAGCACTACTAAATATGTATCCTCAAGGTACAAACAGCACAAACAAATTTGTCCAGTTTCATCTTGTTGGATGAAATCAATTCCTTACCATTGCAAATTTTTTGGTAAATATGCATAGGAAGTGGATGAACAACCAGAAGTTTACAGCCAGTGTTCGCGAAGCAAAGCAAAAGCCCGTTTACAAAAATTAACACAGACCGTTATTTTGCAAATATGCAAAATAAGTCGATGAACTACCAGAAGTTTCCGCAAGAGTTTACAGCCAGTGTTCGTGAAGCAAAAGCCAGTTTACAAAAATTAACAGACCGTAGAACTGCAAATATGCAAAATAAATGGATTAACTACTAGAAGTTTCCGCAAGAGTTTACAGCCAGTGTTCGTGAAGCAAAAGCCAGTTTACAAAAATTAACAGACTGTAGAACTGCAAATATGCAAAAGAAGTGGATGAACTACCAGAAGTTTCCGCAAGAGTTTACAGCCAGCATTCGCGAAGCAAAGCAAAAGCCAGTTTACAAAAATTAACAGATGCAAAAGAAGTGGATGAACTACCAGAAGTTTCCGCAAGAGTTTACAGCCAGTGTTCGCAAAGCAAAGCAAAAGCCAGTTTACAAAAATTAACAGATGCAAAAGAAGTCGATGAACTACCAGAAGTTTCCGCAAGAGTTTACAGCCAGTGTTCGCGAAGCAAAGCAAAAGCCATTTTACAAAAATTAACAGATCGTAGAACTGCAAATATGCAAAAGAAGTCGATGAACTACCAGAAGTTTCCGCAAGAGTTTACAGCCAGTGTTCACGAAGCAAAAGCCAGTTTATAAAAATTAACAGACCGTAGAACTGCAAATATGCAAAAGAAGTGGATGAACTACCAGAAGTTTCCGCAAGAGTTTACAGCCAGTGTTCGCGAAGCATAAGTCAAATGGTTAATGATTAATATTATTAGTGTACTGCTACAACATATAATTATACTGTTAGTCAACAATTAATAAAGAGGCAAAGAGTGACTTGCTGTGAGAGGTTAGTTAGTAAATTAAATATTATTTTCATCCACTTACCTAGAGCTCTGAAATATCTTGACACAATTTATCCACAGTGTGGTTGCACCATTTATGCATAGTCAATATGGAAGCAATAGTTTTCTTCAAACACAAGATAGTTTGCACCTGACAACTGTCGATATTCTCCAGATATGGCTTCTAAATTAACTGTTTAAAGTATTTTCCCTAAAAGTAAGTTTTCCACATTCAAAGTAGAAAAAGAATAAACAGCCAGTTCCCAAAAATCCAAACTACTGACTAGAAACAGTGACAAACACATGGCAACACGACCGTCTCCCGTGAATTTAAATTCAAATTGCTGTAATCTAACAGCAAAGTTTGAAAATCTTGTATATCTACTTCAGAATATCCACTTGTAGATATGTAATACGAATTCATTCAGAACACAGAACTTTGCAAGCACATTAAAATGTCACACAATGCAAGACATGGAAAGGGCTTACACTAACCAGTTTTCAAGGGACTCCATCCAAAAAGTCACGTGATTTAGTTAGATGGCGTAATCTAGAGTTGGCGGTGGTAAAATCAAGTTTAAACTAAAAAGATATATAACATCTTATAATCATAGAAACCAATATAATGTAGGCTTTCTCAGAGATAAAGAAATTAAGGAACAGTTCTCAGTTACGGTCTCTAATAAGTACCAGGTGTTGCAGCAGTTAGCTGAAGATGTCATCACAGAAGTCTGCTGGGATCAGATCAAAGGAATCTGGAATGAATCTTGCGTAGAAGTTCTTGGCAAGAAAGAAAGGAAACATAAAGCATGGATAACACCAGAAACCATTAAACTGATTGAAGATAGGAAAAGTAAAAAGGCAGACTTAAACAATAGCAAAACTAGAGCTGCTAAAGCTAGAGCTCAGGAGAAATACACAGAAGCCAACAAGGAAGTTAGGAGGCATATAAGGGCAGATAAAGTGAAATATCTAAATGATCTAGCACAAGAAGCGGAGACAGCAGCAGCAAAAGGAAACCTCAGAGAACTTTACAGTAACACAAGAAAATTAGTAGGTAAATATAGTCAGCCAACTGGATCAATCAAAAATGGTCAAGGAAAGGTACTTACTAACACTAAAGATCAAATGGACAGATGGGTTGAATATTTTGAAATGCTTCTAAATAGACCAGGCCCAGAGGTTCCCCCAGATATCCAGCCTTTAGAAATGGAACTGGATATCAATTGTGAGATACCATCCAAAGAGGAAATTAGAAAAGCTATCAATCTTCTCAGGGAAGGAAAGGCCACAGGCCCAGATGGTATCCCAGCTGAAGCCATCAGGGCCAACATAAACACATCAACAGAATTGCTACATAGATTATTCAGTAAAGTCTGTGAGACCGAAGAAATACCAGCAGCCTGGAGAGAAGGATATCTTGTGAAACTGCCCAAAAAAAGTGATCTACAGGAGCGTGAAAACTATAGAGGAATTATGTTGCTGTCGGTCCCTGGAAAAATATTAAGAAGAACTATTTTGGAAAGATTAAAAGATGCTATCGATAAAATGCTAAGAGATGAGCAGGCAGGTTTTCGGTCAAACAGATCCTGTACTGATCAGATAGCCACATTACGTATTATAATAGAGCAAAGCATTGAACTGAACTCACCGCTTTACATTGGATTTATAGACTATGAAAAAGCATTTGACAGCATTGATAGGGAATCTCTCTGGAAATTGATGGGGCACTATGGAATCCCACAGAAAATTATCAACTTAGTAAAGGCAACATATAAAGACATGAAATGTTGAGTTCTTCATGAGGGAAAGCTAACAGATGCATTTGAAATAAAAACAGGTGTGCGACAGGGATGTCTTTTGTCGCCTCTCTTATTTTTACTGGCTATAGACTGGACTATGAAAACAGTAACTGCTAACACCAAGAATGGAATTCAGTGGACCCCTACAAAACAGTTTGATGATCTGGACTTCACTGATGATATTGCTCTTCTGTCCCATTCACAGAATCAGATGCAAGATAAATTAAATATACTTGATGCGAGATCACAGCAGCTTGGTCTGAAAATCCATAAAGGAAAGACAAAGATAATGATAATAAATCAGGCAAATAGTAATGTGGTTTCTCTTAATGGCACCCCACTCCAAGACGTGGAGTCGTACACCTATTTAGGCAGTAATGTAGATAAAGATGGAGGAACTGATAGAGATATTAAAATAAGAATACAAAAGGCAATAGGGGCTTTCATAGCACTAGGGAATTTGTGGAGGTCAAAAGAAATTAAAAGAAATACTAAACTAAAATTTTTTTATTCTAATGTCAAATCAGTACTATTGTATGGGGCGGAAACATGGAAAACAATCAAGGCAATTACAAATAAATTACAGACATTCATTAACTGGTGCCTGGGCAGAATAGAGGGAATTAAATGGTATGATAGAATAACTAATGTAGAACTTTGGGAGATAACTAAACAGGCTCCAGGAGGAGAAGACGCTGGCATTGGATAGGATACACACTGAGAAAACAGGAGAACAGCATAACTAGAATGTCTTTGCATTGGAACCCACAGGGACATAGGAATAAAGGAAGGCCAAAAAACACATGGAGAAGAGAGCTGGAAAATGAGGTTAGAAGGATGGGGAGGACATGGGGAGAGCTCCATGTAATGGCGAAGGATAGAACAACTTGGCGTGAGTTGGTTGAGGGCCTATGCTCCACTGGGGGATAGAAAGGCAGAAGAGAAGAGAGGACAAAACTTAGCGCTGTTTAAAAATAACAAAACATTAACAATCATAACTATGAAAACATACTACAGCCATGAAATTAGCCAGACAACCGGTCATCCCCAGCAATCACCTGTACCCATGTGGTTTAGCTTCATGTGCAGAGCCAAAACAGCTGGGTGGGTCTCCTGCAACCGCGGGTTTAGTCGGGGGGGGGGGGGGCTGAGGCTTTACAGGTCTTCCATGCTCAGAAAATTAATTTTTTTCCTCACAGAAACATATCTTGAGCATTTAAACAGAAATTGTAAACTAATGTCAGATATATCCTAACATATACTAGCCAGCAAACAGATCACATGGGACACAGATACGTCAATAAAGTAGAATGTTCTTTTTACTCTTACTTTTTCAAACTCTGCTCCATGAAAACTAACCATAAATCCAAAGCGAATCACAAAGGAACTTATTTGAAAAAATTTTACTCTATGAAAACATAGTACTGAATCACAATATGGGTATGAGTTAACACCTTAGATTATTTTGAACAAGTAAATAAAATATTGAGCAGTGACTAGTTAGGAAGAAGAGGGGACACTATGGCAAAAGGCACTCTTCTTCAGTAAAATGAAATAACAACTTGTGAAGATTGAAAAGGCGATTGTCAAATCAGTCAGAAAGGCGCTGATCGGTTATCAAACAATCTGAGGATCTCTGTAGCAAAGTGGTCAAACCGCTGCGATGCGTTCATTTTACAACTTGTTGTTCGGCTCATAAATGTAATTTCTTTTTTGTTAACGGAGACCTCTGGGGGCTGTTGTCGTGCTAAGCTCTTTGCATGCGACTAGCCGTTCATGGTTCTGTGTAGAAAGACCAAGCCATATGAAACCAGTCACGATGAAATGAAGTCAATCCACTCGCTACTGAACATTTTTTCAGTGGAATAAGGTAAATTTCGGTCAGATGTTCACACACACACACACAAGTTAGAGTGCGAGAAAAAGCATTTTTCAAAAAATAAGAAGAGATACATTATAACACAAAGAATTATTTCAAAAGCATGCATATTACTGTATACATCTTGCAAGACTCACTGGATGCTAATCCTTAATTCATAAGGTATTTAATTAATAGTATTATAATTAATAATACTGATTAATTGACTCATTTTTATATGTTAATTAGGTTTGCATCACATCATATTTTAAAAAAGACAACATCCTTAGGTAGAGCTTGCTGCCTTGAATGCAATGGTATATAGTTGCTAAGGGGTTCGGCAAAAAACGTCAGAGTTATAGACATTAGGCAAACAAATGATGTCACTTATGGTCAAGTTTTTACTTGGGAACATGCGCCATCTTTTTCTTTTATTTTCCATTATATAATAATTTTGGGGAGAACTTTCCGTCACTGAAATGTGAATATCTCCGCTTAGAATTGACACACAGACTTCAATGAGGTACAACTGGACTCTATCTAACTATTTTGGTTTAACAGTAAAAAAAAATCATTATATAAATTTTGACTTAACTCTCTAAGTAATTTACACTCGGATTGCTTTATTCAGTCACAGGTACTATTACACTAGCGACTACGGTGTTTGGCAATTTGCGGTCTTTTCGAGAATTTCCGTTACCCGGTAAGCGTTCAAAACTTGTTTGGGAAATGTCGGCTGGTTTCGGGATGGGTCCTAGTCTCTTATGAAATTTTGCGATTGGTGAAATTTTGACCAGCTATAAATAGCTGAAAATGGTATGAAGGAACCCGATTAACATCACATGTCTACGAAAGTCAGACGTGCTCTGTTTTTATGTTACATCAGTTTGATTGAAAATAGCAGTAAGTATTCAAGGTTGGCTTTAGGCTTTAACATTATATTACTTGACATGGTAATGCTAGTTATAACTGAATTCTCCGTCCAATTTTACATTTGTATATAAAATTTGGTACTCCTGTCAAATCCGGACGAAGAATAAAAAGCCTTGGACGACTTAGTCAGAGTTCTCTCCCTTGGCCGCACTCCAAACAGTGATCGGAAAAGCCAACGAAACAAAGAAGACAGTCACTTCGACATCAGGGCTGCCAATGCTTGGTTGTTTCCCCCCAGATCTGGGTTTTTTTTCGACGCTGCAGGACAAATCTGGGTTTTTTTGGGTGTGTTTTGTTTGTTGGTTTTTGCCGATTTGTATGCTTTAATGATCGATAAATTTGCGTGGTTAGGGGTAGGGGTTAGGGTTAGGGAGTAGGATTAGGATTAGGGTTAGCGGTAGGGTTAGGTTTAGCGTTAGATTTGACAATTTTGACGCCGGAGTTCCCTATAATCGCGCACAGTCCCATACACACACAAACAATCGAGGGCCTCTGGATGCTGGTCAAACGCACAATTCGCCAACGATTGGGGGCACCAGCCGCACGCTATTGGCGTCATATTTGGCAGAGTTTCAGTGGCGCCACTCCCACAAACATCAGATTGTCGGCCAGTATTTCGAAATCCTACGTCAAAATTTTCACATCTAACCCTAACCCTACCCCTAAACCTAACCCTACCCCTAACCCTACCCCTAACCCAACAACCGCATGATGACTACACAACCATTCACGATGCCTCACGCAATCGTACGCAACCCTGCACGCAACCATATGATGACCACGCATCCCTTCACGATGCCTCACGCAACCGTACGCAGCCCTACACGCAACCGTAGGATGATAGGTAAGTGTGTCGTTTGTTTTGTTGGCTTTTCCGATCACTGTTTGGAGTGCGGCCAAGGGAGAGAACTCTGACTAAGTCGTCCAAGGCTTTTTATTCTTCGTCCGGATTTGACAGGAGAGCCTAAAATTTCTTTCTTATGTATGGCTTAGTCGATTTACAGTAGACATTTTTTCAGGCAATCGCTATTACGGCTGTGTCTAAAAAAAATTGTCTGCCATCTTTTCTTGTGACTTATTGACCTTTAAACCATAACAGTTCTTAAATAATTCCTGTTTCGAGTTTTAACAGTTGTTTGTTTACTGTTTACTTCTCATTTCTACAAAAAAACCTAGATATCTCGGCTTAGAATTGACATACAAGCATAAATTAGGTACCGTTGGAAAGAGATTGTTTACAGCTATCTAACTGTGCTGTTTATTGGTATAGGAGCATTTTGAAAATTTGCTTAAAGTAACTAATTTAATTACAGTTTACACTATTATTATTATTACTATTCACTATAATTCACTGTCTCCAGTTTGTCATGTCAACATTATAAAAAAAAAAAAACAATGAAAGTAAACATACATCGCCCATCCAAAGTGAAGTACTTAATGCTGTGTTATACATCTTGTTCATGAGATCTCTGATGGAGCAGCAAGTGTGTGTGTGTATCACTGTGTCGTCTGCCAGAGAAGAAAATCGTTACGACAGGATGCAGAAACATGCAGGCTGCCATCTTTAGTCATACATTTTAAAACATTGACTAGCAACAGCACAAACATTAATGAACACATTCGTATAACAATAATTTGTCAGGTGTTTTATGTTAAAATGTATTTTTTTTTTATTATTTATTTTGATTTTAAACACTGATTTTCTTCTTTTTTTTCTTGTAAGTTATTGCTTAAGAGACTTAGAAATAGTGTTATTTCGTTGGTGACGAAAATCAGCGTGGAGAATTTGACAAAACCCATGTCGTCCTTGTTTACCAGAGATCTGCGTGTCTGCGACTGGTGAATTTATCCACATTAAACTTCGACTGGGGAACTTTATCCGTGCTGGGGACGTGGTTCTGCTGATTTCTGGTGTTGTAAGTATGGTTGTACCAGTGACTAGAGGCTTTCTATGCTAAATATATGGTTCTACTGACTTCTGGTGTTGTAAGTATGATTGTACCAGTGACTAGAAGCTCTACTGCCTCTACTGACTTTTGGTGTTGTGAGTATGATTGTACCAGTGACTAGAGGCTCTACTGACTTTTGGTGTAAGTTATGATTGTACCAGTGACTAGAGGCTCTACTGACTTCTGGTGTTGTAAGTATGATTGTACCAGTGACTAGAGGCTTTCTATGCTAAATATATGGTTCTACTGACTTCTGGTGTTGTAAGTATGATTGTACCAGTGACTAGAAGCTCTACTGCCTCTACTGACTTTTGGTGTTGTGAGTATGATTGTACCAGTGACTAAAGGCTCTACTGACTTTTGGTGTTGTGAGTATGATTGTACCAGTGACTAGAGGCTCTACTGACTTTTGGTGTAAGTTATGATTGTACCAGTGACTAGAGGCTCTACTGACTTCTGGTGTTGTAAGTATGATTGTACCAGTGACTAGAGGCTCTACTGACTTCTGGTGTTGTAAGTATGATTGTACCAGTGACTAGAGGCTCTACTGACTTCTGGTGTTGTGAGTATGATTGTACCAGTGACTAGAGGCTCTACTGACTTCTGGTGTTGTAAGTATGATTGTACCAGTGACTAGAGGCTGTACTGACTTCTGGTGTTGTAAGTATGATTGTACCAGTGACTAGAGGCTTTCTGTGCTAAATATATGGTTCTACTGACTTCTGGTGTTGTAAGTATGATTGTACCAGTGACTAGAGGCTTTATCTGTGCTGAATATATGGTTCTACTGACTTCTGGTGTTGTAAGTATGATTGTACCAGTGACTAGAGGCTTTATCTGTGCTAAATATATGGTTCTACTGACTTCTGGTGTTGTAAGTATGATTGTACCAGTGACTAGAGGCTTTATCTGTGCTGAATATATGGTTCTACTGACTTCTGGTGTTGTAAGTATGATTGTACCAGTGACTAGAGGCTTTATCTGTGCTAAATATATGGTTCTACTGACTTCTGGTGTTGTAAGTATGATTGTACCAGTGACTAGAGGCTTTATCTGTGCTAAATATATGGTTCTACTGACTTCTGGTGTTTTAAGTATAGTTGTGTCAGTCAGTGACTGGAGACTTTATCTGTGCTAAATATATGGTTCTACTGACTTCTGGTGTTGTAAGTATAGTTGTGTCAGTCAGTGACTAGAGGCTTTATCTGTGCTAAATATATGGTTCTACTGACTACTGGTGTTGTAAGTATAGTTGTGTCAGTCAGTAACTGGAGACTTTATATCTGTACTGGTACGGTACTGACTTCTGGTGTTGTAAGTATAGTTGTGTCAGTCAGTGACTGGAGACTTTATCTGTACTGGTATTGACTTCTAGTGATGTAAGTATAGTTAATGTGTCAGTATCAATGACTGGAGACTATCTGTGTTGGATATATGATATGGATGGTTCTAGTGACTTCTGATGTTGTTAGTATCGTTGCGTCAGTATCAGTAACTGGGTAATTCATTGGCTGTCCTCCGAATAACAGACACATATTACGGAGGCCACAAAAACACCCAAACAGGGCCTCAGTCACATGTAAATTGCGCACTTACGGCGGCTAACACCACTATCAAGAGAATCTCCCATGCCGCTACGCGCAGTGTGGATTGGGACACACGGGTGTCCGGTCTTTCTACGTAGAGACCGTTGAAATTATTAGAAGTCCATGTGAAAAAAATCCCAGCTTTCACCGTGGTTTGAACCCGGGACCTACAGCACTCAAGGCAGATGCCATACCTTGAGACCACACAGCGTGGTCCTCCCACAATCATTATCGGCTACTTTATTTTTGTTTGTCTCATGTCAGCGATGTGAAGGTCTGGAGATGTAGATTCCACACAACTGTGCCTGGTGGAAACAAACACATGCAAGTCCTTGACCTGTCTTTACTCTATCTTCATCTGTCAGTCTTTACAGTCTCTCCCAGTCTATCTCAGCATCTGTCTTCCTCTGTATGGCTCTCTCTCCCCCTCTCCCCTTCCCCTTTTGGGAACCAGGTCCAGAATAGACAGGACTTCAGTTTGCTCCACTCTACCACCAAGTCTACATAAAATGTAAAAACACAATATCTGTACTGGTATAGCCACATGTGTGCACATGAATGAAGTACCTTGTGTGCTCGGTACACCCCTGAACAAGGCAAAAATACCTTGTTTCAGTATTACTCCAAGACAACCTTAATAAAAAAAACTGAGGATACCTTAAAAAGCCTTGAAATTGATTGATAAATTTGGCTATGAACCCTGGTTATCTGAAGGGCGTCTGTCTCTAGACCATGCAGCCACACAGAATGTTGTATGAAGGCTCTGTCAAAACACAGAATGTTGTATGAAGGCTCTGTCAAAACACAGAATGTTGTATGAAGGCTGTCTCTATCTGGACCCTGTAGCAACACAGAATGTTGTATGACGGCTGTCTCTATCTAGACCCTGTAGCAACACAGAATGTTGTATGAAGGCTGTCTCTATCTAGACCCTGTAACAACACAGAATGTTGTATGAAGGGTGTCTCTATCTAGACCCTGTAGCAACACAGAATGTTGTATGAAGGTTGACTCTATCTAGACCCTGTAGCAACACAGAATGTTGTATGAAGGGTGTCTCTATCTAGACCCTGTAGCAACACAGAATGTTGTATGAAGGTTGACTCTATCTAGACCGTGTAGCAACACAGAATGTTGTATGAAGGGTGTCTCTATCTAGACCCTGTAGCAACACAGAATGTTGTATGAAGGTTGACTCTATCTAGACCGTGTAGCAACACAGAATGTTGTATGAAGGGTATCTCTATCTGGACCCTGTAGCAACACAGAATGTTGTATGAAGGTTGACTCTATCTAGACCGTGTAGCAACACAGAATGTTGTATGAAGGTTGTCGTCTGTCTTGTGTCTGGAACTAAAACATTTTAGAATGTGTATATGCCCTTTACATGTGCATCTGACCTGTATCTGACACCAATACTTGTACAGGTAGCTCATGTAGCTGACACCTGAAATGATGGTGAATGAATCCAACACTTGGACAGGTAGCTCATGTAGCTGACACCTGAAATGATGGTGAATGAATCCAACACTTGTACAGTTAGTTCATGTAGCTGACACCTGGAAAGTTGGTGAATGAATCCAACACTTGGACAGGCATTCATTGTACATGTTTGATCTTCTTGAATCTTTTCAGAAATCTAGACACAAGTCTACAAACAGCTCCGTGACGGAGTCCAGCATAGATCTGCAGCATCAGTCCAGTTTGTAGCTCACACATGGCCAGTGCCAACTGTGTGGCCGGTGACCCCAGTTCCAGTCCCAAACATTCAAATGGCCATGCCAGTCCAGTCGATTTACTCAGGAGGTTTCACAAGCTACAGGCTGAGAGAGTGGAAGGCTACAATGTGTTTGAGCAGTATGTTGTGTGTTTATGTAGATTTCTGTGCATGAGAGCACATGTTGAGAAATACATTCTTAGTGTAGTTGTTTATGTGGGAGCACATGTGTGGAGTAAGCCGTGTGTGTGAGCACATGTGTGGAGTAAGCCGTGTGTGTGAGCACATGTGTGGAGTAAGCCGTGTGTGTGAGCACGTATGGGGAGTCTGTACTCTGTGCAGCTGTTGATTTTATCTTTGTATGCAAGCACATTTAAAATAATAAAAAATTTTAATCCAACCTTGACATTGAGACTCACGAAAATATAGGTCTGTTCCAGCATCAGCCTGTGATTGGCTGGTAAAAATAAATTGTTTGCCTTAGTGACACTGTTCATTGCTTGCATCATTCGGTAGTCTTTTATCTCACTACACATCAGTCACATTTGTTCAGTGGTTTACCAATTGTGAACAGGTAACATGGACACTGTTATTGCCTTTTCCCACCAGCTGTGAAATTGTTGGTGTGTTTTGTTTTCTTTAAGCGGAATGCCAAAATGTCACCAAGATTTATCGTTGAATGTGTCACGTGTATGGTGATAATGTTATGTGTGGCAATTGTGGGGTGGGGGTGCAGAAAATTCGGGATTGGGGTAAAGATGTACGTGATAAGGGTAGACAAAGATGACCTTCATGTGTGGCAGTTGGACTTATTCAAAAAAGTTGAAAATGGCTTGTTTTCAACCAAATCTTAGTGGAAAAGCAAGATTGTGCAATTTCGGATCTTTCTACAGAATTTCTACAAATTTCTACGACTAGCTGATAGATCTGATAGAAAGATCTGAAATTGTGGAATAGCACTTTTCCGCTACAGCTTGGTCGAGAACATTCAGACATTGTTCAGTCACAGTCAACAAAACATGAGAACATTCATTGGTTAGAAGTCATTAAAACAGTGTTGTATGTTATGGGGGTTAGATTACATTTGTTGATATATGACAGTACAATATTTGTATTTTTTCGTTCTCAGGGCCTTCGACACATTCATCAATGGCATCCCAGAGTACAACTTTAACGAGTATAAACAGCTGGTGGCAGAAATCACTTTGTCATTTCGACGGATCTCAGAGGAGATTATACACATCAAAAACTCCTTAAGAGACACCCACAATCAGCAGCAGATTTCAGCAATCATTGAGAAGATTCAAGAACTGGAAGAAGCCAAATTAAAATCGGTATTTCCACTTCTCCTCAATGTTAAATATAGGCTATCCTCAACTGTCTCAAATTATCGAGGCCGAAAAATATACCCTAACAGGGCCTCAGTCACATGTAAATTGCGGCCTTCCGGAGACTTAAATTGCGGACTCCGGCGACTACCGCCACCGCCGAGAGTACCTCCTACCCCACTACGCGCAGCAAGGAGCGGGGCTAAACTAGATGGCTGGGACTCACAAGCAGCAGCTACCTCATCTTCTGCAGATTCTTTTTATTTTCTCTTGAGTCCCAGCCATCTAGTTTAGCCCCGATCCATGCTGCGTGGGAGATGCTCGTGGCGGTAGTCGCAGGAAGTCCACAATTTACATGTGACTGAGGCCCTGTTAGGGTATATTTTTGGCCTCAATAATTTGGGACCGTTATTCAGAGGAAAGCCTAAATTAATACTTTAAAAACCTGAGAGTATCTCTAAATGAACTATTTCTACCTATCATATTTGCTGATGTCATACATAGATGTCTGTACAATACTTGGACCTTACATACAAGACAACAGAATCAAATGTCCGACGCAGGATCTTGAAGAGAATCCAATGTTTAGCTGTAGCTTTGGCAGGCAGTGAAACATCTGACAGTCATTTGTAGAGAATCCAATGTTTAGCTGTAGCTTTGGCAGGCAGTGAAACATCTGACAGTCATTTGTAGAGAATCCAATGTTTAGCTGTAGCTTTGGCAGGCAGTGAAACATCTGACAGTCATTTGTAGAGAATCCAATGTTTAGCTTTGGCAGGCAGTGAAACATCTGACAGTCATTTGTAAAGAATCAAATCCTTGTGTGTTATATCAGAATTCTTCGTGCATGCTATCTGATCCAGCACAAATAATGTGTGTTCTTTGGTCCATCACATTTATATACGTTCTTTGATACATCACATTTGTGAGCTCTTTGGTCTAGCACATTTATCTTTAACAAAAATTTTCAGCACATGTATCTGTGATCTTTAATCCAGCCCATTTTTCTGTGATCTTTTAACCAGCAAATTTATCTGGTTTCTTCCATCTAGCAAATTTATCTGTGTTCTTTGATTAAGCACCTTTATCTGTGATCTTTTATCCAGCAAATGTATCTGTTCTTTGATCCCACACATTTATCTGTGTTCTTTGATTAAGCACATTTGCATGTGCTTTTGTCAAGCATATTTGTATGTGTTTTTTATTCCAGCAAATGTATCTGTATTCTTTGATACAGCATATTTATCCGTATCTTTGATCAAGCATATTTATGTGTTCTTTGATTCAGCACACATATCTTTGATTCAGCACACCTATCTTTGATTCAGCACACCTATCTTTGATTCAGCACATTTATCTGTGATCTTTGATCCAGCACAGTTATCTATGTTCTTGATCCAGCACAATTATCTGTGTTCTTTGATCGAGCACAGTTATCTGTGTTCTTTGATCCAGCACAATTATCTGTGTTCTTTGATCCAGCACAGTTATCTGTGTTCTTTGATCCAGCACAATTATGTGTTCTTTGATCCAGCACAATTATATGCGTTCTCTGATCCAGCACAATTATCTGTGTTCTTTGATCCAGCACAATTATGTGTTCTTTGATCCAGCACAGTTATCTGTGTTCTTTGATCCAGCACAATTATCTGTGTTCTTTGTTCCAGCACAATTATCTGTGTTCTTTGTTCCAGCACAATTGTCTGTGTTCTTTGATCCAGCACAATTATCTGTGTTCTTTGTTCCAGCACAATTATCTGTGTTCTTTGATCCAGCACAATTATCTGTGTTCTTTGATCCAGCACAATTATCTGTGTTCTTTGATCCAGCACAATTATCTGTGTTCTTTGTTCCAGCACAATTATCTGTGTTCTTTGATCCAGCACAATTATCTGTGTTCTTTGTTCCAGCACAGTTATCTGTGTTCTTTGTTCCAGCACAATTATCTGTGTTCTTTGATCCAGCACAATTATCTGTGTTCTTTGTTCCAGCACAATTATCTGTGTTCTTTGATCCAGCACAATTATCTGTGTTCTTTGTTCCAGCACAATTATCTGTGTTCTTTGATCCAGCACAATTATCTGTGTTCTTTGATCCACAGACTGCAGATCTTCAGATTGCCAGAAAAAATGCAGCAGATGAGCATGAGGGTGATCATCAACATGAGATAGTAGCACTTCGTCATACGTGAGTACTGACATCCAGGTTTTACTGTATAATGACTACTGAGATACTGATGTCTTACTGTTGTATGTGAGTACTGACATGCAGATGTCTTACTGTTGTATATGTGAGTACTATCATACAGATGTCTTGCTGTTGAACAATTGTAATGACACACAGATGACTTACTGTTGTGAGTGAGCGCTGAAATACATGTCTTACTTTGGTGGGTGAGTACTGACATACAGATGTCTTACTGTTGTATGTGAGAACTGACATACAGCTCTCTTGCTGTTTTAAGTGAGAACTGACATACAGCTCTCTGGTTGTTTTAAGTGAGAACTGACATACAGCTCTCTTGTTGTTTTAAGTGAGTAGTGATATACACATGTCTTACTGTTGTGTGTGAGTACTGATATACACATGTCTTACTGTTGTGTGGGAGTACTAACATACACATTTCTTACTGTTGTATGTAAGTGCTGACATACAGATGTTTTGCTTTCAAAAGGTATTACATATGACATGTGTATTCATATTCTACTTCCAGTTGGAATATATTAATGATCTAATTTCAATAATGGTGTATTCACAATCTAGTTCGAGCTATGTTCTAGTTCCACTAATGCTGTATTCACATTCTTGTTCCAGTAATGGTGTATTCATGTTCTTATTCCAGTAATGGTGTATTCATGTTCTAGTTCCAGTAATGGTGTATTCATGTTCTTATTCCAGTAATGGTGTATTCATGTTCTTATTCCAGTAATGGTATATTCATGTTCTTATTCCAGTAATGGTGTATTCATGTTCTAGTTCCAGTAATGGTGTATTCATGTTCTTGTTCCAGTAATGGTGTATTCATGTTCTTATTCCAGTAATGGTGTTTTCATGTTCTAGTTCCAGTAATGGTGTATTCATGTTCTAGTTCCAGTAATGGTGTATTCATGTTCTTATTCCAGTAATGGTGTATTCATGTTCTAGTTCCAGTAATGGTGTATTCATGTTCTTATTCCAGTAATGGTGTATTCATGTTCTTATTCCAGTAATGGTGTATTCATGTTCTAGTTCCAGTAATGGTGTATTCATGTTCTAGTTCCAGTAATGGTGTTTTCATGTTCTTATTCCAGTAATGGTGTATTCATGTTCTAGTTCCAGTAATGGTGTATTCATGTTCTTATTCCAGTAATGATGTATTCATGTTCTTATTCCAGTAATGATGTATTCATGTTCTTATTCCAGTAATGATGTATTCATGTTCTTATTCCAGTAATGGTGTATTCATGTTCTAGTTCCAGTAATAGTGTATTCACATTCTAGTTCCAGTAATGGTGTATTCATGTTCTAGTTCCAGTAATGGTGTTTTCATGTTCTTATTCCAGTAATGGTGTATTCACATTCTAGTTCCAGTAATGGCGTTTTCATGTTCTTATTCCAGTAATGGTGTATTCACATTCTAGTTCCAGTAATGGTGTATTCATGTTCTTATTCCAGTAATGGTGTATTCATGTTCTTATTCCAGTAATGGTGTATTCATGTTCTTATTCCAGTAATGGTCTATTCACGTTCTTATTCCAGTAATGGTGTATTCACATTCTAGTTCCAGTAATGGTGTATTCATGTTCTTATTCCAGTAATGGTGTATTCATGTTCTTATTCCAGTAATGGTGTATTCATGTTCTTATTCCAGTAATGGTGTATTCATGTTCTAGTTCCAGTAATGGTGTATTCATGTTCTAGTTCCAGTAATGGTGTATTCATGTTCTAGTTCCAGTAATGGTGTATTCATGTTCTAGTTCCAGTAATGGTGTATTCATGTTCTTATTCCAGTAATGGTGTATTCATGTTCTTATTCCAGTAATGGTGTATTCATGTTCTAGTTCCAGTAATGGTGTATTCATGTTCTAGTTCCAGTAATGGTGTATTCATGTTCTAGTTCCAGTAATGGTGTATTCATGTTCTTATTCCAGTAATGGTGTTTTCATGTTCTAGTTCCAGTAATGGTGTATTCGTGTTCTAGTTTCAGCAATGTGTTTATGTTCTTATTGCAGTCTTGGGGCATTGATAATGTAGTCCTATTATTGGTATTCTCTAGGTTGAGTATTGCTGATGTTTTTCATATACATTCATTCATTTGTACTGTTTGTAATCTTGTGGCTAACTGTGTCTTCTGTTTGGCAGGCTGGACGAGCTGGCTCGAGAGATCAGCGACGTTCTAGAGGACCTCAAGTTTGAATCTGAAGATCTGTATGCACAAGAAGCTGAGGATGAGATGTCCAGATGAAACAACACCTGCTAACATGCCAGGGCTAGACCAGCCACAGGAACCAGGTTCTGAGAATACAGACTTCAGTTTAAGGACATAGACTTGATTCTAAGGATTCAACTTCAGTTTATGGACATAGACTTGATTCTAAGGACATAGACTTGATTCTAAGGATATAGACTTGAGTCTAAGGACATAGACTTGATTCTAAGGATATAGACTTCAGTCTAAGTACATACTTGATTCTAAGGATACAGACTTCACTCTAGGAACAGGGACATGAATCTAGGGGACAGTGACATGAATCTAGGGACAGGGACATGAATCTAGGGGTAACTTCAGTTTAATGACATAGGAATCTAGGGACATAGACTTGATTCTAAGGATATAGATTTCACTCTAGGGACAGGGACATGAATCTAGGGATACAGACTTCACTCTAGGGACAGGGACATGAATCTAGGGGACAGGGACATGAATCTAGGGACAGGGACATGAATCTAGGGACAGGGACATGAATCTAGGGGACAGGGACATGAATCTAGGGGTAGTGACATGAATCTAGGGGTAGTGACATGAATCTAGGGGTAGTGACATGAATCTAGGGACAGTGACATGAATCTAGGGACAGTGACATGAATCTAGGGACAGTGACATGAATCTAGGGGACAGTGACATGAATCTAGGGGACAGTGACATGAATCTAGGGGACAGTGACATGAATCTAGGGGACAGTGACATGAATCTAGGGGACAGTGACATGAATCTAGGGGACAGTGACATGAATCTAGGGGACAGGGACATGAATCTAGGGGACAGTGACATGAATCTAGGGATACAGACTTCACTCTAGGGACAGGGACATGAATCTAGGGATACAGACTTCACTCTAGGGACAGTGTCATGAATCTAGGGGGTAGTGACATGAATCTAGGGGGTATTGACATGAATCTAGGGGTAGTGACATGAATCTAGGGGGCAGTGACATGAATCTAGGGACAGTGACATGGATCTAGGGACAGTGACATGAATCTAGGGGACAGTGACATGAATCTAGGGACAGTGACATGAATCTAGGGACAGTGACTTGAATCTAGGGGACAGTGACATGAATCTAGGGGACAGTGACATGAATCTAGGGGACAGTGACATGAATCTAGGGGACAGTGACATGAATCTAGGGACAGTGACATGAATCTAGGGGACAGTGACATGAATCTAGGGGACAGTGACATGAATCTAGGGGACAGTGACATGAATCTAGGGGACAGTGACATGGATCTAGGGGACAGTGACATGAATCTAGGGGACAGTGACATAAATTTAGGGGAAGGAACTTGAATCTGGTGGTTTAGACATAAATCTAGGGCTACATTCTTGAATACAGGGATACAGAATTGAATCTTCTAATAGGGACTTGAACCTAGGGACAGAGCTGTTTCATATACAGTTTTCAGACAAAGATTGTATACTTAAAAAATGTGTAAACATCTGGAATGTGGATCTTTTAGCAACAACCCATTTGTATGTGACCCAGTGGCTGAACTCTGCCATTTTCTTAAATTTTTTTTTCAAGTTTTTTGCATAGCAAACATTAATTCATGAGACTGGGCAATTCTTGAGATACTGTAGAAGTGCTTGCAGGTTCTGGCTTTTTGGTGCATGCATTATCCGTCTCCCGTCTTCCATATACATACATTTTCTACAGCTATGGGTCCCAGCTGGCTGTGTCTGGAGCCGTTCCTGCCAGTGTCTGAACATCAGAGCAGTTCACAGACTGCGCATGTGAATCCATTGTTAAGTAATATGTGGATATCCAGTGTAGCAGTGATGTGTGGATATCCGGTGTTACAGTGATGTGTGGGTATGCAGTGATCTGTGGATATCCAGTGTTACATTTATCTGTGGATATCCAGTATTACATTGATCTGTGGATATCCAGTGTTGCAGTGATGTGTGGGTATCCACTGTTACAGTGATCTGTGGATATCCAGTGTTAGAGTGATGTGTGAGTATCCAGTGTTAGAGTGATGTGTGGATATCCAGTGTTAGAGTGATGTGTGGATATCCAGTATTTCAGTGATGTGTGAGTATCCAGTGTTAGAGTGATCTGTGGATATTCAGTATTACAGTGATTTGTGGGTATCCAGTGTTACAGTGATGTGTGGATATCCAGTGTTACAGTGATCTGTGGATATTCAGTATTACAGTGATCTGTGGGTATCTAGTGTTACAGTGATTTTTGGATATCCAGTGTTACAGTGATCTGTGGATATCCAGTATTAAAGTGAATTGTGGATATTCAGTGTTACAGTGATCTGTGGGTATCTAGTGTTACAGTGATCTATGGGTATCCCGTGTTACAGTAATGTGCAGATATCCAGTATTATAGTGATGTGTGGATATCCAGTGTTACAGTGATCTGTGGATATCTAGTGATGTGTGGGCAGTTTACCAATTAGTGTGTGTGCCTGTCTGGACTTCCAATGACAACTGTCAGTTACAGCAGTTCCTCTTTGAAATGGTCATTAGCTCCTTATGTTGCAGTTTGCAGCTAGGCTGCAATTTCTTTGCTTTTCTTTCCAGCAGACCCTTAGTTAATGGCCGTGTATGATAGGAATCTTGAGGGACAGTGGGTCTGTTCTGTTGTTGCCCTAGAACCCATACTGGCAGTGTAGATCTTGATGGTGGTCTCTCTACATGTCTATGCTCTCATACTGGCAGTGTAGATCTTGATGGTGGTCCTCTCTACATGTCTATGCTCTCATACTGGCAGTGTAGATCTTGATGGTAGTCCTCTCTACATGTCTATGCTCTCATACTGGCAGTGTAGATCTTGATGGTGGCCCTCTCTACATGTCTATGCTCTCATACTGGCAGTGTAGATCTTGATGGTGGTCCTCTCTACATGTCTATGCTCTCATACTGGCAGTGTAGATCTTGATGGTGGTCCTCTCTACATGTCTATGCTCTCATACTGGCAGTGTAGATCTTGATGGTGGTCCTCTCTACATGTCTATGCTCTCATACTGGTGTAGTGTAGATCTTAGATGGTGGTCCTCTCTACATGTCTATGCTCTCATACTGGCAGTGTAGATCTTGATGGTGGTCCTCTCTACATGTCTCATACGGCTGTAGATACTGGCAGTGTAGATCTTGATGGTGGTCCTCTCTACATGTCTATGCTCTCATACTGGCAGTGTAGATCTTGATGGTGGTCCTCTCTACATGTCTATGCTCTCATACTGGCAGTGTAGCTTGATGGTGGTCCTCTCTACATGTCTATGCTCTCATACTGGCAGTGTAGATCTTGATGGTGGTCCTCTCTACATGTCTATGCTCTCATACTGGCAGTGTAGATCTTTGATGGTGGTCCTCTCTACATGTCTATGCTCTCATACTGGCAGTGTAGATCTTGATGGTGGTCCTCTCTACATGTCTATGCTCTATACTGGCATGTAGATCTTGATGGTGGTCCTCTCTACATGTCTATGCTCTCATACTGGCAGTGTAGATCTTGATGGTGGTCCTCTCTACATGATGCTCTCATGCCTCATACTGGCATGTGTGATGGGGCTTGATGGTCAACTGGCAGTGTAGATCTTGATGGTGGTCCTCTCTACATGTCTACTGCTGTTTACATGTCTATGCTTCATACTGGCAGTGTTGATCTTGATGGTGGTCCTCTCTACATGTCTATGCTCTCATACTGAATCACTCTATACATGTCTATTTGACTGGAGTGCATTTTTTGTAATTTGTTGATAAGATACCAATGCATGAATACGGTTTATCACAGAATGACGTATATTTGGTTGACCGCAGTGTGGTTTCATGAAATACAACCTGTATATCGTCATCTCTCGAGACTACATGTTTGATATTTTTATGAAATACAACCAATTCTGTATATCCTCCCCTCCAAAGACATCAAGTTAGCTTGTCCACATGTCTGAACCTGACATCAGGGATGAATATACATAACATTTGACAGTTCTAATTTTTATGTATTTATCTCTCTAGCTGTCATTCATTTTTGCATCTTGTTGAAATTATTTTTAGCCATTGTGATTCCTTTCCATTGTTATTTAAAATAGTTTTTTTTTTCCTGAATATTGATGTTTAATCCACTTCGCACTTGTTAACATGAACTAAACTTAACAAGAACCCCAATAAACATAACAAAATGGCTGTCCCAGCTGGGCTGCAGTTATTTGAGTCACAGGTTATCACGAGTTGTGTAGACATGTGCTGTTAAGTTGTTGCTGCCTTGGAATTTGTGTTTACAAAATTTTATTGTGTGGTGTACACACTCGTATGTATATCTACAGACAGTTCTTGTACACACACTTGTATGTATATCTACAGACAGTTCTTGTACACACACTTGTATGTATATCTACAGACAGTTCTTGTACACACACTCGTATGTATATCTACAGACAGTTCTTGTACACACACTTGTATGTATATCTACAGACAGTTCTTGTACACACACTCTTATTATATCTACAGACAGTTCTTGTACACACACTCGTATGTATATTTACAGACAGTTCTTGTATAACAAGCAAGATATACTGACAGTTTTTATTAAACAGATGAGATTTACACATATACAGATAGTTCTTGGTGAACAGGCAAGATACATACATACACCGCAAATGTGTGACAAATTCTTGTTTGATAAACACATTTGCCTGAACTGTTCATCTCAAACAGTGGGGGCAGATGTGACGTTTTCATTGTATTTTTTCTCATTGTTTAGCCACAGTAGCCCCTTCTTCAGGTATATCCTCAAAACGTTGCAGAGATGTAAGCATCTGCCCTATTGTGAGCATTATATAAGTTGGTCTTTTAAAATCTGTTCTAAATGCTTTTGTTACATATACAGCTTGGTCTTCCTCTTGCTCTGTGTTCATTTCTTCAGCTTGGCTCTTTGTGACAGTTGGTAGCAGGGCATTCTCATCAGATAACCAAACCATTTCAGCTGTTGGTGTTTTATTAACTGTGTAACA